CGGCCCTCGGCGCTCTTGGTGCAGCCGAGGTGCTGGCAGCGACGCCCGCCGCCGTGGGCCTTGCAGAAAGCCGTACGGCTCTCGGCCCCCTTCCCGCACCCGGGCTTCTGGCACCGCTGCCCGCCGCCGTGCCCGATGCACAGGCCTGTCGCGCCACGAGCGCCCTTCGTGCACCCGCCCGGAAACCGGCATTTCTTGGCGGGGGTGTTTTTACGGTCGGAGGACGTGCAGGCGCTTCCCGGCTCGGATATGGCGCTCATCGAGTAGTCGGAGCTCTGTTGAGACTCGGGAAGCTTGTTTGATGATGTCGGGGCCAGAGCAAGTCCCGTCATGTATCCGCCTGATGATCTCTTTGCAGATGTCGAACCCTCATCAACGACGGGAGTTTCATTTGTAGGAGGGTTGGAGGAACCGTGAGTGGTACCTGAGAAGTCGAGCACGTGTGTAACGGCATTGCAGCCACTAGATGGCGGCTCCTCTGTATAGGTAGGGGTGGGGCCCAATCCGAGCACTAATTTGCACCCGTCATCTGGGCCGTTTGGAAAAGCAACCTGCCGACCGCTATTGTTTTGGTTGTTGCTGAAGGGGGTTTTTTCCCGTGTCCCATATCCGAAGCCATCCAAGCGTAAAGTAGTATCTCCAGTGTTGGTTCCATTCTTGGAAAAGTCGCAGAAGAAAGAGGAATGCATTTTCAAATTGGCTGTTACCAATCAAATCTCTGTACTATTTCTTTATGGATAGAGGTGGCGGGCGATAAAATAAATCTACTCAATAAATTCTAAAATCCGTATAGTAAGATGAAAAAAACGAGAGAACAAGATCCGAACAAGTTGCATCCGCCGCTCACAAAACCTGATGTATCAAATCTATCCATTCTGTAAAGTCCCTAGCAGAAGCAATGTTTTTATGAAGAAAATCTGACACTGAGTACTAGATAGGTAACTGCAGCAACTTTAATGTGATATACAACTATCCATGAATTCCAGCATTCAAGTTCAGTGTCCCCAATATTTAGGTACCTGACAAATGAGAAGAAGTAACTTGATTTCACATCATTGTGGAAAATTGTATTTTTTGTTTAAATAGAGAAGCACATAGATTTTCACACACACGCAAAGAAATGTAGACATAAGTGGCGACCACCAAAGATAATTGTAGAGAGTGACTAAGGATATATGTTTGCCAACTCCAAAGAAACCATCAGGAGATATAAAATAAATAAATCATGCAAAAATATCACGTCCCTAAAACAGGGTAATTATTTTAACCAATTGTAATATGTCAAAGATGCAATCATGATACATACAAAAATTAGCAGTAGACCATGTCGTTACCCTACATATATGGTCACTATTTAACTTTAAACTTGTTGAGAAATGTAGCCACATCATAGAAGGGGACAAAAGCATGGTTTCCATTTGGGCTAGAAGGGTTAAAAAGTTAACAATGTTCTTCCGTTTACATTTACAATCGACTATAGCGACTAATCCCTCGTCATCGTAACTTGGTTATCGTTTACATTTCAACTAAATGGTTTACAATCGCTTGACCAAGGTTGTAAGACAAATTAAGTCTATCACTTTCTCATGCTTCTACTTCCATGTTTGCTAAATTGTCCAGTCGGATTTTCAGTTTTGATTTCCAATCTGCCAAAAGCAACAGAATAACTCTAAAGATTTTCTGAAAAAGTTCACCCATCTCCAATTTGAGAATTAGTTTTGATGATTATGTTCAATATTAAGCAAACTTCCAATATTAAGTCGATCCTTCACCGAACTCAAAGTCCACTGCTCCAGATTCAACCTTTACTAACAGGGTTCCAAAATTCACTGCGTCCTGCATCCCATCAAGTACAAACAGTGCTATTTCATATAATAATACTTTCAATCTACTCCTATCGACACAAAATAGGTTCTTTCAATCTACTATCACATTAATAATACAAATTTTGAACTTCTAACATTTCCAATATGTTTTAGTTATTTGTGGCAAAGAAGGATTAAATCACATGAGAACGTCTAAAAAGGACAGTTAAGAAAAAATAAAATAAAGAGAAAACTGGTTCATAGAGCCTAGGCCAGAATTCAGGCAGCATGGTAGCAGAATCTCTCACCGATTCAGATGAAAACATCTCCGCCTAGGGGCGCCAGATGCCAAGGTCAACCTCTAATACAACTTTTGCAAAAATTCACAAGCATGTTTTGCTAGATATAAACCAATGATATATAAGATCTATACTCTAAAAAACATATTAAATATATGAGCAACTAATCAAACTTCTTCTGTTAAGCATATATGCATAATGAAGAGGGGAACATGGGAGCAACTACAGACTAAAATATGACAAATTCAACTCATAGAAAAACATATTGATTAATTAATCAATTTATAACTTGAACCTACAATAGAGAACTCAAATAACCAATATTTTATTCCCCAACAATCAAGAACCGAGGTTCGAAACTATTAAGACTCCTTTAACCGAATTCATTGAAACAAAAGATGAACAAATTACATATTACAGAACAAACCATCCGTCGTAATTCGCAACATGATTCAAAAAGAACACATAAGATTTAGAACAACAGGAATGCTTATACAAATTCACTCAATCTATTAGCTTACCAGATCCATCTGGGCACTGCACTTCATAAAATTCAAATAGAAGAAAAATAAAGAAACAAATCAACAAAGCAAGAGAAAAGATAAAGATTACCTCGCAATCTAACTTTCTTCCGCAGAGCTGGAAAAAGCTTCCGAATCCACAGCAGAACATCCCGAATTTCATCACTGCAGTCTATACAGAGAGAAAGCGAGCATCAAAATTGGAGGGTGAGAGAGTGAGTAACAAGAGAGAGAAAGAGTGTGTGCAGCAGCAGATACACAGGAAATTAAATTTGCAGGAGGAGAGAGAAAAACCAGACTCCTCAACTTATAGCCCTAAAACGAGTTAAAATAAGTGTAAGACTTTGATTTGGGCAACTCATTAATTTATGATTTAATATAAATATTACATTGTCTATAATGCCCCCTGGGCGATTTTTGTCAAGCTGGCGCTGATTTGAGACACTGCATACTTTTTTTGAAAACGATGGTCGTTATTTGGACAACTCTGTCCTCGGATTAATAATGTTTAGTTGAATGAGACGAGGGGTTTTCGGGAATTTCGCAGGATAACAATAGGAGGTGGTCCCGGGGAAAATTAGTGGCGGAGGTGTAGATTAAGTGACGTGTCCAAATCATATCCCATATCACCATATGACCTACGGTGGAGCAATTTTTCGTTTTTTCTTTTTCTACAATACTTGTTTTCTTTATTCTTTTAAGGACACCGGATCAATTGTTTTTGTTTGCTTCAAATGAAATGAGGTTAAGGCTACGTTTGGTAATATCAATAAGTTAGCTTATAGCTTATTTGGTTAGTTTATAAGCTCTCTGTATTCAAATAAGTCTCGTTTGGTAGGACGAACTTTTTTAAAAAGTTCTAACTTATTTGATAAGCTTCTTTAAATAGCTTTCCAAATAAGTTAATTAAATTTTTTATTTCAGCTAGTTTATCAGCTAATTTTATCAAACACTTTTATCATATAAGTTAGCTTTTCAGCTATAAGTCATAAACTATAAGCTATAAGCTAAAAAATTACTGATAAGCTATCGTTTTACCAAACATAGTCTAAGCTGGTTGCCACTTTTCTATGGGACTTTTATTCTGCTTTAAATGCTAATTTGAAATTTAATCGCTTGATTATTTTTATCATAATACCTAACTTTAAACATAATCTTAAAGCTCAATAAATATGGGCAAATTTAACCATGTAGTTCAACTCAACTTAATTCATTTGTATATCGGGTTAGCCGAATTGTCAGTCACATGCATGAATATAACTAATTTAGAGAATGCTAGAT